ATAGTCATCAGTTAATATCTTGCTGGATGTTGTATCAGAAGACATGTTATCGTTTTATATTAATACAAGTCAATTCAAAATCACGTAGCTGTCAAGAGCGAAGCGCGAAGTAAAAAATATCACTATCCACTTATCCAAGTTTATGTAATTATTTACTTATGCTGTGATCTCAATTTCATGCCCCCCACATTTAATAAAATAGGATGATGCAGAGCATCGAATCTCTGATTCTTCAGCTTCATATCTACCTCTTATACTCTTCTCATCCTTATGACTCGACTTGCATGCTGGACATAACGACTTATCAATAAGTCCATAATAATCGAATTTTTCGCTACTAAATTCTCTATATATATCAGGATACTGGCCTAATATTTTATTACGAAAATAAATGCGATCATGGGTCGGATTAGATGAAGATATAGATGCACTTACCTCGGTTGAAATTTCAGCCACATGAATTCGATCGATACCATTGGTAACGGTTTTTGAATTCTCATAATCTTTAACATAATTTATGATATTTTGTATTTGTACATTAGTTAATCTTGAAATATCGCTTGCGCTACAAGTTACCAGCTTAATTTTATCTGTTCCGACACCATTTTCTCCAAATAAGTTAAGGAATTTTTTAGCTCTATTAGTTCGAATTCGCAAATTACCTGGAGTAACATTAGGTAGATATTTTAGCATTTCTTTATATATCGTTGATCTTGCTGTCTTCTCTTTTATTTTCCCATCTGCCGTCATATTTTCAACTTTATTTTCAGTTTCAAGAGAATAAGTATACCAATATAATATTTCTTTTATACCGGATTTGATGGCTTTTTCAAACCAATAAGCCAAGCGTTGCGTAGAATCCTCAGTTGTTTTCTCCAAAGAGAGCTCATTATCTATCTCATTAGATTTTACTATGACAGTAGATTTAGTAAAATCTCGCTTTAAAGTCTGTTCAGTAATTTGATTCCTATCAAGTCCCGATACTTCGTCAGATGAATCAGAAGAATATAATTCTGCATTATTATCAATATTAACAGTTTTTGTATCGGATGCCAATTCCAAGTTCTGATCGTTTCCATTGGTAAGGGTTTTTATTTCACATGGTAAATTAGATTGCTCTGATGAATTATCTTCAAAAGATACATCAGAATTTGGAGCATTATTAAGTTCATCAGAATTCATTTTACAAGGGGTAATGATCGAAG